GGCGGGCTCACCAGCTCGGTCCTGAAGACCCCCATTACCTCAGTCCCCCTGGGGCCCCTGGCCTCCAGTCCCGCCCGGTCCTCAGAGGGCAAGGACCCCGGGGCCGCGGAGGGAGAGAAGCGGGACACGGGCGATCCCGACGGCTTCTCCGAGAAAGCGGAGCCGGCCGAGGAGGAGGCGGAGGAGGAGGAGGAGGAGGAGGAGGCAGAGGAGGAAGAAGAGGAGGAAGAGGAGGAGGAGGAGGAGGAGGATGGGGGGGGCTGCAAAGGGCTCTTCCCGAGCGAGCTGGACGATGACCTGGAGGACAGGCCCCGCGCAGAGCCTGGGGCCGCGGCGGGCGGCAGCCGCAAGAAGGACCTTGCTCTCTCAAACCAAAGCATTTCTAACTCCCCCTTGATGCCTAACGTGCTCCAGACGCTGTCGAGGGGCGCGGCTTCTACTAGCTCTAATCCCGCTGCTTCCTTCGCGGTCTTTGACGGCGCGAACAGGAGGAACCGTTTAAGCTTTAACAGTGAGGGCGTCAGGGCCAGCGTGGCAGAGGGCGGCAGGAGGCTGGACTTTGCCGACGAAAGTGCCGATAAAGACAATGCCGCAGGGCCGGAACCAAATGACAGCACGGAGGGCGATGACGGGGGCTTCGCCCCCCACCACCCGCACGCCGGCTCCCTCTGCGAGCTTGGGGTCGGGGAGTGCCCCTCGGGGAGCGGCGTGGAGTGCCCCAAGTGCGACACGGTCCTGGGCTCCTCCCGCTCGCTGGGCGGCCACATGACCATGATGCATTCTCGTAACTCGTGCAAGACGCTCAAGTGTCCCAAGTGCAACTGGCACTACAAGTACCAGCAGACGCTGGAGGCCCACATGAAGGAGAAGCACCCGGAGCCGGGGGGCTCCTGCGTCTACTGCAAAAGCGGGCAGCCCCACCCCCGGTTGGCACGAGGCGAGAGCTACACGTGTGGTTACAAGCCTTTCCGCTGCGAGGTGTGTAACTACTCCACAACGACCAAAGGCAACCTCAGTATCCACATGCAGTCCGACAAGCATCTCAACAACATGCAGAACCTGCAGAACGGAGGGGGCGAGCAGGTCTTCAGCCACACGGCCGGGGCGGCTGCAGCTGCGGCCGCGGCCGCAGCGGCGGCCAATATCAGCAGCTCCTGCGGGGCCCCCTCGCCCACGAAACCAAAAACCAAACCCACCTGGCGGTGCGAGGTGTGCGATTATGAGACCAACGTGGCCAGGAACCTGCGCATCCACATGACCAGCGAGAAGCACATGCACAACATGATGCTGCTACAGCAGAACATGACCCAGATCCAGCACAACCGCCACCTGGGCCTCGGCAGCCTGCCCTCGCCCGCCGAGGCCGAGCTCTACCAGTACTACCTGGCCCAGAACATGAACCTGCCCAACCTGAAGGTGGACAGTGCCGCCTCAGACGCCCAGTTCATGATGAGTGGGTTCCAGCTGGATCCCTCCGGGCCCATGGCCACCGTGACGCCGGCTCTAGGTGAGGCTGACTCCGTGTTTGTCTGTCCTGTGATGTGACTGCAACTGGGGGAGACGTTGAAAATAAGCCAAGGTCCTGTGGATGCGGTTGATTCCCCCTCCCCTTTTGTTTTGTATAAGCTTGAGTGTCTAACAGTCCATAATTTTTCTCAAGACCCCCTTGTCCTCTGTGTGCATATGGAAGATCGTGTGCATTCAACAGAGACGTGATTCCACTCCAGTTCCACGGGCCAGGGTCAAAATTTAAGTGTTTCCTCTGGTTTTTTGGCTTCTGGTCAACCCTCCTTTCTGTTCCCATTCTCTCTTTCCCTGTCTCTTTCTCAGTTTGAAAAAATCACCACAATTATCCAAAACTTTTGGGTTCCATTAAATATTAATTGGGACTTACAGGAAACTGTAGCTGGAGTTTTAAATAGGAACACTCATCTCCATAAAAGGAACTCGGAACTGGGGCGTACTTTATTCAGACAACCAAAGGCTGGTCCTGTGCCGAGCGGGGAGCCACCCAGATAGGCTTCTGCAGGTTCTCCCACGTGTTCCCGAGGGTCTGAGGGAAAGAGCTGTGTTCTTTTCCTTTCTTCTTTTGCATGGCTCGTTGGTGATTAGTATAGTTGGGAATTAAATTGCCCTGGGGCACCGTAAGGACTGGTGTGATAGATGAAAATGAATAAATTCTAAAATTGTACATCAAAGAAAGCTAAGTTTTCACATCGGTGAGATCCTGGGTAATGGAGCCTTTGTTGCCGTGAAAAACGACCCATGTTAGAGAAGGCGAATCAGCTGTGTGCAGACAACGCGTCTTACCGATTGGCTTCGTGGATCTAGCGTGGGACCCGAGGATAGTACTCGTCTGCTGAAAGCCACGAGTCTTTATGTACAAAGAATCATAATCACTTTTGGGGGAGAGCTTGTACAGCAAGAAAATGTACAAATACTTTCATGAGGACCAGTGCGATGGTTGGGCCCCTTCTGCCCTGCCACCTGTGCCCCGGACAGGCCCGGCCTGGTCTCCATCCCCTGACCCTGCTGACCACTTGGGACCAGCGGCGATGGCCTGAATCAAGCAGCATCCCCTTACTGGCGTGTAAATGAGTTGTTCTCAGTAACAGAGTGCGAGCAAAGTACCTTTATTCTGGCATGGTTCAGGTCAGCGCCCAGGGGCGAAGCCTCACCGGTTGGAACGTCTTTATTTGCATGGGGTTTTAGTGCTAATTGCTGCTGATGAGTTACATTTCATAACATTTAATTAGTTTCTCCTGCTATGCATTTAAATTTGAGTCCTTGCTACTTTAATCTCGTTTTCTGTTTTGGAACATTGACCTGTTGATCCTCTGTTACCAAGTGGTTTGAAGATGTCTCACTGGCTGCTTAATAGTGGATGCAGAGGGATACACTGTCTTATTTGTCCCCAGAGTAAACCTCGGGGATGCACGGCAAGGGATGGCATCAGTACTCTGAGACTTCTTATTTTTAACACCTATGGGAATTGGGGTTTTCTAGTCTGGAGATTTAAAATCTCGAGGAGGCAGATCTTGGAGTAAATCAGCTATAATGTAGGTGGAATGAAGACACAGAAAATGGATGGGATTCATGCTCGGCCGAAGTGAGATCTTTTTAATTACCTTGAAAACCAGTAATTCTGACTTGGGCCTGAATGGAGAGGTAGAGAAATGTTTTGCTTTTACACCAAGCGTCCGAGTCTCTGGGGCCCTCCATGCATTACGGGCATGTGGCAGATTCAAAAGAAATAGAAGACGGAATCTCGATGCTCTGGGCATACATAGGAGGTCCTCGATTTATTTCTTAAGGAGAACAGAGCTCTCCCTTCCGAAGACCTGATCCAGGTCAGCCAGGAAGGGCCCTTGAATTTCCAGTGGCACCGCCTGTCAGCACTGTGTGTGTCTGCAAACCTCCTGTGTCTGCCTCGGGCCACAACAGCTGTCGAGGTGGAACAGGAGCCACAAATGCTTTGTGCTAATGCCTGACTGGGTGTGGATACCACAGGGAAGGTCCAAAGTTATGTGACCTCAGTAGAAGCCGACATATAGACATGAGAAGAACCATCCCTTTCCGTTTTCTCTGCAGCTCTACTCACGTTTCTTTAGGCCATTTGAGAGATGTAGGTTATTAGATAATACTGGGCTCTGCAGGGGGAAATTTTCTTTGGTGACATACAGTCCTGCTTACAAAGTTATTTTCATACTTCCTTAGAACCTTGTCTTTCGTGATAGCAAACATGCTGATTCTGGGATGCCTTCATCCTAGAGGCCTTTAAGGAAAGGGTCAGCACCGTTGGTCTGGGCTGATTGGATTTGGCACCATTTGTAGCTGAGATATAGATCTGAGATCATCTCAGTACCCTCCCAAATATCCCTTTCCACTTGGAAGTTTAGCGCAGCACCGGGAAACCTATAGCTTGGAAGGGGCATCCTTGTGTTTCCCGAGCAGCCAGCCAGCCAGCTAGCCATGGGACACCTGCCTGAGGTTAATGGGTCCTTGGCTGCAGCCTTTGAGTCTAGAAGGTGTTTTTTCATCCGTGTGCCCCTCTGACCATGTGCTCACAGGCAGGCTTATGTGCCTGAGTGTAAATTCCCCGTGTTCAAGTCAGGTGCATATGGGGAGATGGTGGCCACTCCTTCCCAAGACCATCTCTCCAGAGTGGCTCAACAGTAAACACTTGCTAAGTTCCCACTTACTGGGGCACTCCTCCTAATCCCTGTGAACTAGGGGAGGTTCTACTTTTTGGGGCCTGAATTAGTTTCTTCAGTTCTGTGGACCTGTGGGATTCTTTTTTTTTTTTTTATTTTTTTTTATTTTTGTTTAAAATATTACAGATGTCCCTTTTTCTCCCCAGTGACCCATTCCACCCCGTCCCTTCCCCCTCCCCAGTCCTTCTCCCCACCATTGTCCGTGTCCTTGGGTTGTGCATATATGCATATAAATTCTTTGGTTACTCTTATCAAAGGGATGGAGGAGGGTGGACCTGTAGGATTCTAAGCCCTAGGTTTGTTTCCCCAAGGGCACGATTCTCGGAGGGAGTTTGGGCCTGTCTGTCGCCCTCATTTCACCGCGTCTCTGCCTCTGTCTTTGATTTGCGTTTCGTTTTAAGAGCTTGGAACGGGAGTAGGGTCTTACTCCTCTGTGTGTTGGAGGACTTCTCATTTTCACGCAAGCATCCAACAAGTGACAGCCGAATTTCTCTTTAGAGCGATGTTGATGTGCTGAGGTCAAATTTAAAAAGTGGAGAAGGTCTGATGCTTCAGGTGGTTGGCATCAGAAACAAATATGTGTTTGCTCCCTTGTCTCACCCTCCGGGCAGTTTCCGCTTTTACTGAACACCATGTACGTTTGGTGGATGCTGCCTGGTCTTGGTCCCCACGAAGGGATAGAGCTTTTAGGCTACTTTTTCCTGTCTCTTTTTCTCTCTTGTCCTAAAAAGAATGTCTTAGTTATGGCTCCTCTCACCAGGGGAGATCACAAGAGAGAAGACAAGCAGAAAGCTTCCTGACCCTTCTGGAA